CTCTTGAAAATGGGAACAACAGAGGATCCAGAGTCCATTGCCCTACCAGGTGGGCAGAGACAATGGCACCCCGGAAAGGTGTGACTTCCGAAACCTGGAGTTAAGTGTGCAATGATGGACAATTCATGGGGGCGCTAGTAAAACTGTGCAGAATTCAGCACCAGGGCATGAGGTGTGCTTCTGCCTCCCCCATGGCTTACAAATCATTCCCACTGCAATCACTCGGGGAAGGCTACAGGGAGCACACCACAGAGGGAAGGGCTGCTTTAGATGTCATCTAATCCGCCATCACGTCCCAAACTGTCACGGCCTCACGCCACAGAAGCTCCACAGAAAAACTGAAAGATGGGAGGGCTTACTCCAGCCATCGACCCCCTAATCCAGGGGACCAAAAGTTGAGGGGAATGCTTTGACTTGATTTGATTTTTCCATTAAAAATATTATTCTCTCTCCCACCTCTCTTCACCATTGGAAAAGAAAAAAGGAAGAACAAAACCCTTGTTTTGCAGTCAAGCAAAACAAATTCCTATATTGGTCATAATCTCCCCCCAAAAAATAACCTAATGCACCCTGATTCTGTCACCTCTGTTGGGAGCAGGGGATGTGGCATTCTTTTTCATTGGTCTTCTGGAATTATTATTCTAACATTATATATTCATATATTACATAATTACAATATTATCGGATGTCTGGGATAGATAACATATTCTACATTAACATATTACATAATTATATTATTGGATGCCTGGGATGGAGAGAGGAAAGCTCAAACAAGTCAAATGACTTACCAACAGTTACATAGCTGGTAAATATCCATGGCAGGATCTGAACCCAAGTCTTTTGACTCTAAATCTACCATTTCCCCCGCTACACCAAGATTCAATTCAACAAATCTCCATGGCGCCTGGAATACACTCACTCTTACTTCTGCCTTCCATCCCTTGAGGTTTAGCTTGGGTGTCACCTCTTCTAAGGGTTCTTCCATCATTTCCTGAGCTGTAGGTCTCTTAACTGTTGCTAGAATATTTTTTTCTGGAATGCTTTGCTCCCATAACCTTCTACCTTGCAAACAGACTTAGAATTAGAGATTGAGAACTGGAAGGAACCTTAGGAGGTCAACCAGTCTGATAAAGCTAAAAGGTATTAGGTAACTCAGTAAGTAGCAGACCTGGGATTCAAAATCCAAGTCCTGAGACCACAAATACAGCATTCTTCACCCTTATGCCTTTTTCTGTCTGTATATAGCAATGATTCTCAACCATTCTTTGATCATGGCACAGCAGTCTTTGCTATGAGGAATCAAGGCACACAATCAGTCAACAAGCATTTATTACGGGCTTACTATGCACCAGGCACAAGTTTAAGTGGACAACACTATGGTAGAGTTGGGAGATCCACACATACATATTTCCCTTCAATGAGAGCAGTTGAGTTGTTAGTTTAAGGTCTAGTGTGTTTTAAGATTAGTATACACATATAATAGGTAAGTGTTATTCTGCAAATGCTATACTTATACTACATACTTTAAGTAAATAAATGTTAAGTTAAACAAATTACTTATTTGTTTATTTGAAATAAAACATCCAAATGTTGAAGCATATCTTTTACTACTTGTGGCATGTTTGTATGCTACCCTTGAAGAACCCCTTTGCATAAGATATATCTCCTCTTTCAGGAGAATGTTTGGTGTTCATCCTCTATTCTTGAAGAGAACCAGTGACGTCACGAGGGTGAGGTCTTGACTTTCAAGTGAATTAGATTTCAGGGAGGCCGAACTGTGCAAAGTCCTCAGCCTCACTCTCTCCTCCAATCATGACAGTCTAGTGCAGAGACTAAAGTCAAAGCTACCAGCCACGATGGCTCAGGATGTAGTGGGTGGCCTTTAGCCTTTTTAAATTAAGGTCTTTCTCAGGTCTGTTTGTCGGAGGCCACGCCCACTCATTGAGGAAGGACTAGGTGGTGGTGTTGTTTGTCCTTGTTCTGGAATAGGACATCGACAAGAGGAAGATGATGCCATGATTTGCAAGTGAATTCGATTTAAGTGAGGGAGGGCTGTGCAAGGGCACCAGCCTCACTTTCTCCTCTGAAGCCATCTGGGTCAGATGGCCAGATATAGATCAGGACAACTGGAAATGGCCCCCAAGGTCTAGGTAAGTGTGCCATCACAAAGATATCTATCTCAGAAGGGAAGACCCTTATTGTTTCTGGACAGAAAAGAAAATAATTGTGATTTACAGGGGCAGCTAGATGGCGCAGTGGATAGGGCACAGGTCCTGGAGTAAGGAGGACCTGAGTTCAAATCTGACCTCAGACACTTAACACTCACTTAGCTGTGTGACTCTGGGCAAGTCACTTAAACCCAATTGCCTCACCAAAAATAAAAAAAAATTGTGATTTACACTCATTCTAAGACATCAAAAGCTAAACAATGAGCCACAGGGGCTTCCTCCAGGAGACCCTATGCATCTTGAAAGCAGGCTCTATGTTACTTTTTAAAGATCTGTATCCCCAGTGCCTGGCACACCGGAGGCACTCGCTATTCAATGTTTGTTGTTGCTCTTGTAAAGGTCTATTATTAATATGGTGCTGGATACAAGGGAGGAAATGCAAAGACAAATTCAAACTGGTCCCCGCCCTCAAGAAGTTCACAGTGAAGTCCACAAATAACCTTAATACAAAACGTAGGAAGAAACAAAGTACCATGAAGAACAACATTTAAGAGGAAGGCCATAGATAGGCGGCTGGGGACCAGTCGGAGGGAGGTGATTTTCTTTAATTTCAATATATAGTTATCCCTTCTACATCACGGGGATTAGGGGAACGGTGTCCCCTCAAGATATGGAAAATCCACTTTAAGTTTTTTGGCTCTCCCTTCATACCAGAAAAGAAGTCTGATTTTTTCTTTTTCTTTTATGGGGTGTTTACTGTACCTTATTGTAAAATTTGGACTGATGTTATACAATACTATACATATATTTAGTGCATTTCTGAACTTTTTCTGTCATCTGTAGTTTCCATAAAACTCCCCCAAAATTCCCATTTTAATTCTTGTGCTGACTCATGATATATCAAAACCACAATGGGGAAAGTCTCGATGTGGAAGGGATGATGGTATAAACTGTGCATGTACTGAGGGAAAAGTGAGGGAGCAGAGTAGAGTAAGGGGGAGGGGGACTGACTAAAAAGAGAGTCAAATAAGGTTTATCAAGAAATGAGGGCATGATCCCAGAGGCTTGGAACATATTAGTCATGACTTGGCCTTCCATACTCCCCATAAATAAATGGGAATGCTCTCCCTCCTCGCCTCTGGCTCGGGGAACTCCTTGAGACCCTGCCCAAATGCTACCCTCCACGAGGCCTTTCCTGATTCCAGCAATGACAGAATTCCTTTGTATTTATTTTGTCAAGCTATATATAATAGTTACTATGCATAAGTATACTATAATCTAGTCCAGGGTTTCTTAAACTTTTTCTACTTGTGATCCTTTCAGCACTTCTTCAATGTTTAAACGTTTAAGAAGCACCGCTCTAGGACTCTAGTCCATACCTCTCTATCTGGTCCACAAGTATACATAAGAGACTCAGCCAAGTATCTTGCTGAAACATGAGTATACCAGAGGTATGTTGGTAAATGTTTAATAACCACCTCTCCAGGAGTGGGGGGTGGGGGAAGTATACACAATACAATTTTTTAAAAGGTTATTTTTTTTCTCCAATTAACATCTGTTGCTTTTTTGAGTTGCAAATTCTATAAATAACTGAATTGTAGCATTTGGCAATTTTACAGCCAGAGGGAGCTGGTTTTCGCACACCTCTGGCTATATCAAATGTAAGGCACTCCCCTAAGCTCTAAGTCTGGAAACACCATTACTTTTTTTTTTTTTGGCTAGGCAGTGGGTTAAGTGATTTGTCCAGGGTCACACAGCTAGTAAGTGTTATGCATCTGAGGCTGGATTTGAACTCAGGTCCTCCTGAATCCAGGGTCTATGCTCTATACATTTCGACACCTAGCTGCCCAACATCATTACTTTTGATCACTGGATTCACTGTCTTGGCTCCATTTAGGGGAGGGCAACCTAGACATAGGTTTCCTGCTATCAGGGCAGACAGGCAACTAAAACTTGTGGAACTTATAAATTTTTTTTTTATGATTTTAATTTCAATTGCTGGGTATTTATTTCCTTGTGGGAGCAGCCAAGTGGTGCAGTGAAGGACCTGAGTTCTGTGTGACTCTGAGCAAATCACTTAACCCCGATTGCCCCCCTCCCAAAAAAATAATTTTCTTGTGGCACAGAGACACTGAGTGACTGGCCCCAGATCACACAGCCATTATTCCTCCAACAGAGGACTTGAACTCAAGTTTTAATTCATCAAACACTGACAGTGGCAGAATGTACTCAATCTTCAACCTTCATGGTTCAGTTTGACTGGTTATACCATACAGTTTTGCTGTTACATTCTTAGTTCATAGTTTTATTTTTCATGTTTTGTAAAACATGAATTTTATTTCTGAACTTAGTTATTGCTCATGGCAGAATTCTTATTTTTTTAAGCCTTTTTTTTGAGGCAATCAGGGGAGGGAGGGAGGAAAAGAGAGAATTTGGAATTTAAAATTTTAAAAACAAATGTTAAAAACTGTTTTACATGTAATTGGGGGAAAACAAAACACTAAATATTTAAAAAAAAAAAAAGATACTGTCATGGTTTGCCATTAACTTTTCCAGTGGATCTTTTTATCAGGCAATCAGAGGTTAAGTGAGTTGCCCAGGGGCACACAATCAAGAAGTGTTCGAGGCTGGATTTGAACTTAGGTCTTTCTGACTCCAGGCACAGTACTCTATCCACTCAAATACCAGCTGCCTCCACATTAGAATACCTTTTTAAAAAATTTTAAATAAAGTGTATACATATATATATGTGTGTGTGTGTGTGTGTGTGTGTGTGTGTATATATACACATATATGAATGAAAAAATATATAAACATACACAATATATCTCATATAATATGTACACAAATGTGTTCAAATTTTCTTCAATTTTTCAAAAATTTTTTCAATGACTTCTGATAGAGCACAGTCACAGTTGCAAATCTAAGAAACTCCCTTCAGCTGCAATTTCAATTGAGTATGTTGGCTTTTGGGGGATTCCTGATAGGCTAGCAGGCTACAACGTTACAAAGGACTCATTAATGCAAAATGTCATCAGTAATAAATATCCCTTTCTGCCTGCAGCTTTCCTTTAAGACCATATCCCTCTTGTTCAAAAGTCCAAGCTTGAGCACACCAATGAGAAACAATTTGTTCTTGCAGCAGGTAACTTGCCCTGCCCCCAGTGCTGACTGTAGCTCACTTCCTCTTGGGCCAGGCTAGTGATACTGGTGGCTGGTTCTTCTAGAGCCGCTCCATGGATGAAAACAGCCTCAAGAGGGCTTCAACACTGTGAGGTAGATGATTCTATATGCTCAAAGTGCACTTAAAAAAAAAAGCACATCATAATTGCAAGTGTTTTCCAACTTTTATCATTAAGAAGTTGTAGTGGGAGAAGAGTCGGTGTTTTAAACCACTCAAACAGAATGCAAAGATTTTCCAAAGACGTTTCCATCGCTCCATTGGCAGGTGTTGGATCTCATCTTTTGTTCAATCATCCTACAAAATAGAAGTTCATGTGAATAATTTCCAAAATTCAGTACGATAAACTTAACCAACATGCATTCAACACCTGTTGTATGAACGGCCCTTTGCTACATTCTAGAATGAGGGAAGCTTTGAATGCCAGGCAAAAGGGTTTTGAGTTTACTCAACGGACAACAGGAACCCTCCCCCCCAATCCTTTATTCTGTGTTACAAAGTAACATTTTCTTATCTAACAATGAATCCTTTTATAAGATGCCATTCGATTAAACAAACATTATTAAGTGTTTCCATTGTTCTAGGCCACAATTTGGAGATTCATAGACAAAACAAACAAAAAAACCAGTCCCTGGCCTCAAGGAGTTTACATTCTCTTGGAGTGGAGGGATATTCAAAGATGAATAAACACAAAGTAACCTCAGGAGTGAGAGGGAAGAAGAAGAAAAGCTCCACAGAGTGGGTGGCACCTGAGCAGACCCTGGAAAGAATCCAGGGATTCCAAGCAAGAGATGTGCCTCCAGTTTGTTGTAATGGAATTTTGCTCAAATAAACACACTGATTTAAAATAGTATTTCTTGCTAGCCACTAAGCCCATAGATGAAACACAGCAGATGACAGCCTCTCTATAAGGATTTAGCAAATGTATTAAAATAAGCGCTTTGAACCTTTGTAAGGAAAGGAGGGAGATGTTATACCCACCTGATTCCCAAACTTTCCTTCCTTCAAATTTCCCAATATTTCTGGTATGCTGTTGAATGGGTAGTTAGAATCCCGAGAGGATTTGATTACAATTTGTTGTATATAGCAGAAAGCACATGGTACTTGGTGTCAGATGACCAGGTTTTGGGACTTGGTTCTATCATTTATTATTACTATTACTAATAATAATAGCTAACATTTATATAGTTCTTTAAGATTTACAAAGAGCTTTACAAATATTGTCTCATCTTATCCTCACAACAACCCTGGGAGTAATGGTACCTACCATTACTATTTCCATTTTATAGACAAGGAAACTGAGGCAGGTAGAGGTTAAGTGTCTTGCCTAGGGTTACACAGCTAGTAAGTGTCTGAGGGCACATTTGAACTCAGATCTTCCTGACTCCAGGTCCAGTACTCTACGCACTAAGCCATTTCACTGCCTAGACATGTGAAGCAAGTTATTTCCCATCCTGCAATTTCAGTTTCCTCATCTGTAGAATAGGATAATAGTATTTATGCTTCCTACTTCACAAGGTAGTCATGCTGAAAGTCTGTGGCAAACAACAAAATTCTATATAATTATAAATTATTGCCATTTAGAAGAAGCACAATGCAGTAGAGAAAGGACCAGATCTGAAAGCTGAGGACCTGAGTCTGATCCCGAGTATGTGGAGAGGAGTAGTATAAGAAGACTGGAAAGGTAGGAAGGGGCTAGGTCATAAGGTGCTTTAAAAGCCAAATAAAGGATTTTCTATTCAATCCTTGAGGCAACAGGGGATCATTGGAGATGACTGAATAAGGGGGAGATAAGATCAGTCTGGTGCTTTAGGAAGATCACTTTGAAAGCTGAGGGGAGAATGGACTTCAGTTGGAAGAGCCAAGGCAGGAAGATCACCCAATAGGCTACTGAAATCGTCTAGGCATGATGTACTGAGAAAAGGGGCAAATGAGAGAGATGGGTAGAGTAAAATCAACAAGCCTTGGCAACAGATTGGATATGGGAGGTGGAGAGCTTGGATGTCTGAGAAGATAGTAGTGTCCTGCACAATAATAAAGTTAGGAAGATGGGAGAAAAAGATGAATTCAATATATTTACGGACACATTCAGTTCAAGATGTCCAACAGGCAGTTGAAGATATAAGACTGGTATCTAGGAGAGACCTCAGGACCATATAAATAAATCTGAGACTCATTTACATAGAGAAGACAGTTAAATCCATGGGAACTGATGAGATCTCCAAGAAAAATAATCTAGTGGGAGAAAAGACTGGGCTCAGGGCAGGGGCTCTGGGCACACCCAGGTCTAGTGGGAATGACCAGGTTAAAGGTCCAGAATAGGAGACTGGAAAGGAACAGTGAAGCAGTAGAAGCAATTAGGATCAAGGGGAAGAAAGTGACCCCAAAATTAAAGGTTGCAAAGAGGTCAAGAAGGAGGAGAATTGGGGAAAGAATATCTGATTTAGCAATTATGGGATCACTGGTAACTTCGGAGAGAATAGTTTTGGTCAAATGATGATGCTGGAAGCCAGACTGCGAGTTAATTAAAGAAAAGAAAGCAAAAGCACCTACTATAGATAGCTTTCTCAAGGAGTTTAGCCATTTAAGGGAGGAGAAATGCAGGATGACAGTTAGTGTACCTGGAAGGATCAAGTGAGGAGGCTTTTTTGAGGATGGGGAAACATGAATTGGATGGTGAACTTGGAGATCGGGGTGTTTGAGGAAGCATCCATACGGATGCTGAAGTGTCCTAGTACGAGGGCAGGAGGGAGGAGAGAAAGGCTGTGAGCCAAGCATCAAACTCCCTGAGGAAAGAAGAAGAACACGGAAGAAGCTGAGTGTGCCTAGCAAAGTCCTAGCAAGGTTAGGATGTGCTAGAGAAGCCAGTGGAGTACAAGCGAAGAGCTGAAGACCCCTACAAATAGTGTTTCACAAGAGTTCTCCAGGGGAGCTAAGAGCAAGGATTATAAAGGCCCAAGATTTCACTTCCATCAAGTAGAGAGAACAAGCAGGCCTCTCCTATGACCCGTAGAGAGAGTAACACATGTGGATTTCTGTCATGGCCAAGGGACAGTTATTAACACTCAAAGAGAAGGCCAATGCTACTCACAGGAGGGAAGGTGAAGGAGCTTTTGGTGTCAGGGAGAATGAAGTATTCCTTAAAAAAAAAAAGTGAAGGATTTCAGTGGGAATCAAGGAAGACAAGCCACTTCGTTCACCAGTTTGAACCTCGGTTTTCTCCTGTGTAAAATGTCGGGGAGTTGGACTTGTCAAAGATCTCTAAGGTTCCTTCCAGGCCTAGCAATCTAGGAGCCAACATGCACCATTGACTCTGGAATTCAGTGCTGGCAACAGGCGTGACCACTCTGTCTCTCTCTCTCTCTCTCTTTTTTTTTTAGGCAATAGGGGTTAAGTGACTTGCTCAGGGTCCCACAGCTAGTAAGTGTCAAGTATCTGGTCTGAGGCTGGATTTGAACTCAGGTCCTCCTGACTTCAGGGCCAATGCTCTATCCACTGTGCCACCTAGCTGCCCCCCATTCTGTCTCTCAGTAGGCATGCTGGGTAGTTGGAAAATGGAGGGTTGTCATCTTAGCTTCTATCCATTTCCTTGACCAAACTTGGGACTTGAATAAGCAGTGAAACTATCACAGAATGGGATGAAGATGGAGGATTCCTAGAGCAGAAAGTTAGATTGCTACTAATAAAATAATGGCTGGCATATGCATAGTGCTTCGAGGTTTGCAAAACAATGTACGGACATTTTTTTCTCGCTGACTCTCACGACACCCTATGAGGTAAGTATCACAGAGGAGCACTTTATAGGTGAAGAAATTGAGGGTCGTTAAGATAAACCGCTCTATGATCACACAGCCAATGAGTATCAGAGGGGGGATCTGAATCAGTTCTCCTGTACTTCCAAGGCCAGTGCTCTTACCACTATCCCAACGTAGGTCTCTGCCAGTACTATCATTGTTATATCTATTGGCATCTATGATTTCCTTTGTGTAGAGAGCTCCTACAATCAATGAGATCATATCTGTAAAGCACTTAAGGCAGCTAGGTAGCACGATGAACCAAAATCAGGAAAACCTGAGTTCAAATTCAGCCTCAGAGACTTACTAGTTGTGCAACTCTGAGCAAGTCACTTAACTTCTGCCTGCCTCAACCATAAAATGAAGATAGTAATAGCACCTACTTTCCAGCCTTGTTCTGCGGATCAAGTGAGATAATATTTCCAAAGTGCTTAGCATTAGTGCCTGGAATATAGTAGGTGCCATATAAATGCTTACTCATTTCCCCCACTTAACACACAGCAGGCATTTAATAACTGCCTGTTCTCTCCTTTCCCTCCTGGTGTGGAGCTTCCTCTACTGATAAAGATCAGAAGGCACTTGACAACTTTGACAAGTGAAAGGTAAAGTGACTTGTTCAGGGTCACAAAGTCAGTATGTATCAAAGACGGGATTTGAATCCAAGACCGTCTGTCTCAAAGGCCAATTCTCTACTCACTATGAGTCGATGCTTATTATTGTTGTTAATAATAATAATCTCATTATCATCTTTTACATTGAGATTAAGACACAAACAATCCTCAAACAAGTTGCTTTCCCGATGTTATACTTTTATATTTCATGTCCTGAGTACTACAGCATGGTGGACAAGTCAACTACTTTTTGTAGTTGGATACTACAAGTGTAGTGTCTGTAGGGGCCACGGATACTAGTCAAGTGTTGGCTGTAAGCTTATCTTCTATACGGTCACTGAAAGCATCTTGAGGACAATTACAGCAGCAGCAGACAGCATGATGGAAATGATACCCCTCCCTTGTCCTGTTCTCAAAGGACTTTGATTTCTTCTGCTAGACCAATTTTGAAGGTTTTTCGGTTCCACAAAGTTTGGAGATGAGTATCTGGTATGATGACATCTATTACAAAATATTGTTCTTAGTTTTTTGGTAGATTTGTGGTGTATGTTTTTTAAATGGATCACTATTATGCCTGGGTGATTGTGGGTGACGATACTATCTATGGTAATGGTCTGATTTCAGTACAATGTGTTATTAATGTTGTTGTCATTTAAATTAGAATAATTCTAATTCTTAAAAATAAATTCTTATTTTACTGCACACTTATGACTGAAGCCTATGCTTCTTAACCAATTGGCAGAAAAAGTTAAAAGGACCCTCCTTTTGGAATTGTCACTTAGGTGACAGAGTGGATATAGAGTGCCGGGGCTGGAGTCAGGAAGCCCTGAGTTCTAACCCTGCCCCAGACACCTATTAGCTGTGTGACCCTGGGTAAATAAACTTGCCTCAGTTTTCTCATAAGTAAAATGGGAGAACTGTACTCAACAGCCGTTGAAGTCCTTTCCAGCTCCAAATCTTATGGTCTCATGACCAGTTTAAAGTCACCTCAAAACAAACTTACTTTCTTAGCTTTTGAGTGATTTTATTTTTCCCCTGTGTTGTTTTGGACACTGAGAAGAACTACTTAAGATGAGCTGTAGATGGCTTGTGAGCTGCTCAGAGGCATGGAGCCAGCCCCCAAGTTTGAATCTAAGAACACAGAGCCAAGAGCTGCTTGCAGTTAAGCAAGTGGCCACAGTGGGGCAGCACATGTGAACAGGTTATGGGATGTTTGAAGAGGAAGAAACTGTGACCATCCCACTGAATGTTTGAAAGTGTATCAGATGCAGCCGCAGAGAGTGTGCTACATCCTGGGGACATCACAGATCTGAGCAGAATGTGAGGGGGCTGTGAAAGCAGGACGGAGGAAAGGAACACGTCCTTGTAGAACGCATACTCTTACATTTCTATGTTTGTATGTGCACATGTGTCCTGATGGTAAGGGCATGTACCTTCCAGGAAAAACATAAAGGGGGGAGAAGCAGACAGTCAGAGTGGCCCTTCCCTGTCACACCTTCTTCATCCTACCCTCCTCACTTCTGCTGTCCGTGTCATCCCGTGTCTTACACCATGAATCTACTCTCTTCGTCCACGTTTTCATTGCCCTGACAAAACTGAATCTGCCTTACCCAGAGAGGAAGCTGAGCCCAAGCTCCAACCAGGAGTCCGGCAGCAATGACCGCAGGAGAGGGGGAGAAGCAGACAAAACTAGCCAGATAGAACAAATAATAAACATTTCTCTAGCACCTACTATGGGCCAGGCACTGTGAGAAACACTTTACAAATAGTATCTGATTTAATCCTCACAACAACCGTGGGAGACAGGTGCTATTATTAGCCCCACTTTACCGATGAAGAAACTGAGGCAAACAGGGGTTAAATGACTTGCCAAGGGTCACATATACCTGGTGAGTGTGTAAGACCAAATTTGAATTCAGGTCTTCCTGACTGTAGGTCCAGCACTCTATCCACTGTACCACCTGGATTGGCTTCAGTCAATTAAAAAATGGCCGGTAGATAGAGCACTGGCCCTGAAGTCAGGAGGACCTGAGTTCAAATCTGGCCTCAGACCAAACACTTGACATGTACTAGCTGTGTGACCTTGGGCAAGTCACTTAACCCCAATTGCCTCACTGAAAAATTAAAAAAAAAAAATGGCCAGGCACTTTCAGGACATAGCCTTAGCACCTTCCCTCTGAGAATATTTCCAATTAGTGCATTTTGTTCCTAGAGTGAAGAAGTCCTGAGTTCCAACCCAGTCTCAAACACTTACTAGCTGTGTGACTCTGGCCAAGTTCCTAAACCATGCAAACATAATGGTTTGCATACTTTCTCCCCCATTTGACTGTGAGCTGGGACTTTTTGTGCCTTACTTTGTATTCCCCAGTACCCAACATGGTGCCTGGCACACAGTAGGTGATTCATAATTGCTTGTAGACTTGATATCTAAGTGGCTGCCTCTGCTGGAAATCCAGTCTATAGCTACAATTACCATTTACAGATGATGCCAAGCCAACTCAAGTCTTGTGAATTCAAAGTCAAAGGAACAAGAATCACAGCAAATAAATACAGCATCTAACAGCAGAGCTACAATGATAAAATGTGATAAACTGACTTTAGACTAGCTTCCTCTCTAATTTGTTTTAAGAAGGTCTCTTGGGAGTGGTGTACTTTCTGACTCGGGCTCTCTTCCTGATGACTCAGCCGAGGTTATGCTGAGGCCCCAGCTATGGTGTGGGTTCTGGGTAGGGGCAGGAGGGAGAACAGGAAACAGCATAGCAGGGAGGTGGGGGGAGTGCAGCATGGAGCACCTGGGGAGACCAAGAGGTCAGTGACCTCTTAATGCCTATGTGCCAGGCATCGTGCTAAGCACTGGGGATACAAAAAGAGGCAAGAGACCGTCTGCCCTCAAGAAGCTTATAATCTAATGGAGGAGTCTACACACAAACACATATATGTAAAGCAAGCCATATAAAGAATAAATAGGAAATAATTAACAGGGGGAAGGCACTGGAATTAAGAGAGGTTGGAGAAGGCTTCCTGTAAAGGATGGGATTTCAGTTGAGACTAAAGAATTTTTTTTCAACTTAAGTCTAAGCTGAGTCAGAGAAGTCAACAGGCTGAGTCAATCAGTCATTCCAGGCACGGGAGGCAGTGAGAGAAAATTCCCAGAGCTAAGTTAGGGATCGTTGTGTTCATAGAACAGTCAAGTATTATCCAGTATTATCACCGGATCGAAAACAGCTGAAATGTGTCATCGGGTCTCAGATTTAGAGCCAGAAGGGACTTGAGAGGTCCGTCAAGCCCATCTGGGCCAACCCCTTCATTTTACAGATGAGGAATTGAGGTAGAGTGACCTGTCCAGGTCACACAGATTTCTCAGTTCCTCTAACTGCAAATGCAGCCTTCTTTCCCTGGCTGGTGACTATCTCCAGTAGAAACCTTTATAATCTTATGTGCATATCCAATGTGGGTAGCAACCAGTCTATTGATGCACGGGGCGGGGGTAGGGGGTGCCCCCACCCTTTATCACATCCAAAAAGACTAAATGGGGTCCAAGGTCATTTAGAATTTTCATAAGGATGCTGGGCCCAGGTTGGGGCTCTGTTTGGAGAATCCTAGAGAGCCTGGATCTGTTCCAGGGTCTTCAGGTGATTCGGATCTACTTCAGGAAACAGCATTATTATCATAACTCCTGTCCAAGAGCACTTTGGGGCAGACAAAAAAAAATTGTCACCTCTCATCCCAGGCTATTTGGTTAACTTCTAGGAGCATCAGTCTAGAAAAAGGAATCTGTAGCAAGATCAGACACAGCCCCCGTACCAGCATTCTCCAAGGCCAAAGATAACATATATAAAAGTCCTTTTACAATATATACATATTAGTTATTAATGCTATCATTATTATTAGTCAAAATGCTTCATCACCATGGAGAAAACTGAATGTCAAGCAGCCCCAAATTTTAGGCAATTATTGAAAAACTACAACCAATTTTCATGCATCCTTCCAAATGTCTAACATTTCAAACCAGTGGTTTACATTACCAAACCATTCTTTCTACAACTTTGAAAAATATTTAAAACAATTTGGAAAGTAATTAAAAAATTATACATACCTAATATTTATAGCTTGCAAAGGCCTATAATAATAACTGCCGCAAACACAAATGCTGCAAGTACTGGAAATCTGTGCCTTCCCTGATTCTCTGTTAAAAAGAAAATAAAACAAATGCAGATAAAGTGATTGCTTTATACTGTAAATATGCACTGAAAATGAATTTACATGATAAATCTCATTTCGCTTGTCAAGTGAATTTTCTAAACTTAGGTCAAAGGAAAAGAAGGGCAATTTCCCTGCCCTCTACATCAGGAGGGAAGGTAGATAGGATAGACAATGACCAGATGACAATATTTGAAGTAGCTACCTTGTCCCAAAATAGTTCTCCTAAGCTTAAAATTCTATCAAGCAAAGGTCAATGAATTATAGACTCTCCGAGCTGGGAGGGACCTCAAAGGTCATTTGGTATAACCTACATGGGAACAGAAATTCCTTTTGCAAAAGCCTTAACAACTGGTCATCCAGCCTTCTCCTCAATGTGTTACTTAGTTGTTTTAGTTCTGTCCAACTCTTGGGGTTTTCTTGGCAAAGATACTGGAGTGATTTACCACTTGCTTCTCCAGCTCATTTTACAGATATGGAAACTGAGGCAAACAGGGTTAAGTGACTTGCCCAGGGTCACACAGCTATTAAGTGCTAGAGGCCATATTTGAACTCAAGTCCTCCCGATTCCAAGCTCAGTGCTCTATCCTCTTCAACACTTAGCTGCCCTCCTTCTCTTCAAGACCCCCAGTGAAGAAAAATTCACTATCTTCAAGCCCAAGGAAGCCCATTCAACTTTCGGAGGGTTATATTTCATTAGGCTGTTCAAAGGACTGCCATTTACAATATTATCATTAAGAAGCCTGGCACAGTGGAGGTCAGGAAAATTTGGTTTCTAGTCTCTCCTCTGACACATATTAGATGTGTGAGCCTGGATTTCTCACAGTCTGAGGCCACTCTCTAAGACTGCAAAATTGTGAAGCAGGTGCTGAGATCTATATTGACGGAGACAGTTTCCTCTCCTGGGAGTTTCCTATACCAATGAAATTACAGATCCAGTCCAAAAAATACTAGTACTAATTATAACTAGAAAAAAGAAAAAAGACCCAACCCCAATTACATTTTTTTTTTAATGTTCTGTAGTAACTCTATGAGATAAGGAGTCTGAGCACCCTGGAAAATGCTCTGGAATTAAAGTCAGAATGCCTAAATTCAAATCTTGACTCTGACCCTTTTATTAGCCATGTGACCCTGTACAGGAAAGTTATATTATTTCTTTGTCTCAATTCTCTCATCTGTAAAATGGGGATAATAATTTTTGCTCAAACTATATGATATTTGCATTAGACTATGAGCACCTTGAGAGCATGAACCGTTGTTGTTTCTTGGTTTCTTTGGTTTTTGCCTTTCTCTGCACCCCTCAAGGTCAGCACAGTGCCTGGCACATAGTAGGTACTTAATAAATGTTGCTGTTAGGAGAGAAACACTTCATAAAGAACTGTATAGATTTGAGAAGTCATTATTATTATTTTTTAGGCATGTGACTAGACCAGTGCCACACGATTAATAAGCATGAGAACTGGGGCCTAAAAACAAAGCTCCTGACCCAAAGTCCAGCACACCTGCAGCCACACTCAAACTAGAAACCAGTGAACTTGACTTCAATTCTTGGTAAATTCTTGAACATGTTAATTACTAAAGGAATAGTTAGTGAACCTCTAGAGAAGGAAGCAATTACTAGAAAAGAGCCATCAGGACTTCATCAAGAAAAGGTCAAACCAGACTACCCTCATCACCTTTCCTTATTGTTGTTCAGTCATTGTTCAGTCTTGTCAAACTTTTCACGACCCCATTTAGGGTCTTCTTGGCAAGGATACTGGAACGGTTTGTCATTTCCTTCTTCAGTTCATTTTACAGATTAAGAAAGTGAGGCAAACAAGGTTACGTGACTGGCCCAGGGTCACCCAGCTAGTAAGCATCTGAGGCTGGATTTGAACTCATGAAGATGAGTCTTCCTGACTCCAGACCTGGCAGTCTATACACCTAGCTGCCTTTCCTTATGGAAAAAGGAAAAAATTTCTTATTTGACTTGTAGATTACAGGCTTTGTCTAAATATAAATTTCAGCTAAATATCTGATAACTAGATGGATTTGAAACTGGTTGAATGACCAGACTCAAAGAGTAGTCATGAATTAGTGTTGATTTCTCAGTAATTAAGTGAAGAGAAAAAGAGGCATTAACTTAAATGTAAATAAGCACTTAGATAGCACCTACTATGTGCCAGACACTGGCTTAAGACATTTTTACAAATATTATCTCAGTTGAGCTTCACAACAACCCTGAAAGGTAGGTCTTATTATTATTCTCATTTAACACTTGAGGAAACTAAGGCAAACAGAGGTTGAGTGATTTGCCAGGGGTCACATAGCTAGTAAGTGTCTCAGGTCAGATTTTAGCTCAAGTCTTCCTGATTCCAGGCCTAGCACCCTATCCTTTGTAGGATATCATCTAATGAGTTAAGCAGTTAAGTGTACTTGGATCTGGCTGGAGTCAGGAAGACCTGAATTTGAATCTGGTCTCAGACACAGACCATCTGTGTGACCTTGGGCAAGTCACAACCTCTGTTTGTTCAGTTTTCTCACCTGTAAAATGGGGATAATAATAGCACCCAACCGCCAGGGTTGTTTTGAGAATTGAAGGAGATAATACTTGGAAAGTGCTTAGCACAGTACCTGGCACATAGTAGGCACTTAATAAATACTTGCTTCATTCCTTCTCGAGCAAGTGGACCCAAAGAATAGTGAAAAATGCATCAAAACATCGATCTAGTCAAACTAGATGTTTTTAGCTAACTAGTCATGGTGTCAAGCTCAAATAGAAAGAGGGGTAATTAATCCAGACACAGGGATCCCTATGAATTGCACTTTGACTTAGTTTCCAAATGTGATGTTATCTATTTTTTCTTGTTAAATATTTCCCCGATTATATTTTGATCTGCGCCGGGCTGCACTCAGGACCGTTGTAGGCCCCATGTTTGACACCTCTGCTCAAGAATTTTTTTTTTTTTTTTTTGCTGAGGCAATTGGGGTTAAGTGACTTATCCAAGGTCACACGCCTAGTAAGTTTCAAGTGTCTGAGGCTGGATTTGAACTCAGGTCCTCCTGACTCCAGGGCTGGTGCTCTATCTACTGTGCCACCTAGCCGCCCCAACAATACACTTTTAAAGGAGGCTTTTATAAGCAGAACCAGATCAATAATACAATGACTATAACAATGGAAACAAAAATAAAATTACCAAAAGAAATGCAGACTCTGATTATCCAAGGAATTAATAACAATGGTCCCAGAGGACCAATAATGAAACCTATTCCCTGCCTCTAAGAAGCAGGGAGGTTGGGGACAACCATGACAGACCCTCTCATTTTACAGATGGGAAAACTGAAGTCTAGAAAGGTCAAGTCATTTGCCTGTGATTACTCACATAGTAAATACCAGAACTGGGATTTGAACCCAGGACTTCCCATTCCTATCCAATACTCTTTCCACTACAACCAACTGGGTCACATGGAGTGAGATATTTAGTTGAGTGACCCAAGGATTCATAGTAGGTGCTTAATAAATGTTAGTTGACTGATCATTCCAATCAACATTTTTTTTTTGTTTACCAATGAATGGAATGAAGACACAAATGGAATTGTAAAATATTTGCAGATTGTTGTTATTACTGTTTGTCCTTTATTCTCCAAGAGGACCGTGATATCAGGAAGGTGATTACCTGCAAGGAAATTGGATTTAAGTGAGGGAGGGCTGTGTAAAGTCATCAGCCTCACTTTCTCCTCCAGGAGCCTCGTGGGTCCAGTGGCAAGAACAGATCAGCACAACTGGAGATGCAGCCGACTAGACAATCTGCCCTCAAAGATGCTTATCATCTAATGGAGGAGGCAACATGCAAACAAATACATTTAATGCATGCTAGATATAGAATATTTGCAGATCACAAAGAACTGGAAAGCTAACACAACAGATGACCAAGTCTGGATCTCAAAATATCTCAATGATGTATCAATCCAATTAGATAACAGGGATTAATGTAAAGTCATCCACTTATCCTCAAGAATAGGACAAGGGAGGCATGGAGAAAGAACAGTTCACATGAAGAAGGCCTCCAGGGTTATAGTGCTATTGTACTCTGCCTTGGTCAGATCATGTGTGTGGGGAACTTCTTGTGCTCAGTTCCAGGAACCATATTTGAGGAAGGGCATTGAAAAATTGTTGTGAATACAGAGGGGAGGGCTATAAGTTTAACGGGGCCATTTCCAATCATCCTGAGCTATATCTGGCCACTAGACCCTGTTGGCTCCAGAGGAGAAAGTGAGGCTGATGACCTTGCACATCTCTCCTTCACTTAAATCCAATTCACTTGCAAGTCATGGCATCGCCTCCCTGATGTCCTGGTTCTCTTCAAGAATGAAGGACAAACAACAAGTCTGACAAGGAGACTGGAGTCCATACCCTACAAGGATGGGCTGAAGGAATGGAGAATGTTAAGGCCTGAGAAGACAACACTTAAAGAAACAATGACAGTTGTCTTTAAGAATGTAAAGGACTGTCCCACGACAGAGGGATTAGAGAGTTCTGCTTTTTTGTTTTTAAACAGTACAAGACTTGGAGCCACGGGGAGAAATTATAGAGAGGCAGCAAGTGTCCAGTAGAAGGCAAACAACTTCCTAATAATTAAAGTAGCCCAACACTGGAATGGGTGACCTCAGACTTGTCCTACTGAGGGTGTGTGTGTGTGTGTGTGTGTGTGTGTGTTTTCCACTTTGGAAATCCCATCCAATTCTGAGTTTCTGTGAATAGGGTTGGAGTTCAGGCTGTCCCCTGATAGATTAATGGACCTCCTGAAATGGTGGTTGTCCTTCATTCTCAGAGAGGACCAAAATGACATCACTCTGTCAGGGTCAAGGCACAGTGTGTCCACCTGCGGCTGACCAGAACAATAAGAGCTTGGAAGGCTCTACCACAGGTCAGGTACAAACAGTCCATGTGAACATTTGGGGTAGAGATGTCTCTAAATCTGTGCATCTCCCATTTCAGCTCCATCTTCCCAAACCCTTTCCCTCACCCCCTCCACAATACCACAGTGTCTCCCAAATGACGTAAGTGTTCCTACCTCGAGTACTTTTTGTTCCTCTATCAAACCCAGACTGAAAAGTCCATTCATTTCCCCCCACCCACTCCCCAAACATGCAAGTTTCCATTTGGTTTCTTTTGTGACAAATCATTGACTGACTAAAATAAGAACAAATCTGAGAATAAACATGCTATGTCTTTGCTTCCTGGTTTTATAACTGCTATTAAACATATGGCCTGACCAAAAAGTCTCAAAATCTATTTTTCCCTTTAGGGAAAACTCATTATTTTATCATTTTGTTAACTCAAAACAAAAGAACTTGACATTTGCTGACTTTAAATGACAATTTTTTTAATTTAATTTTTTTTAAAGTTAAAAATTAACTTTAATTTTTACTTTTTAAAATTTTTAAAAATTAAATTTAGATTTCTGAATTTGAATTTAAATTTTTAAAAATTTTTAAATTTAAATTTTTAAATTAAATTTAATTTAAAAAAATTTTTAAATTTAAAAATTAACAAAAATTTACTGATGCCTTCTGTTTTTTACATCATGGTTATTTCTGGTTATAGCCACCCCCATCCCCAATCCCCATAAGTGAATCCTCCTGTGCAACAAAGCAAAATAGTTTCAAGTAAAAACAAACCACACAGTGACTAATGTGTACAATATCAGTGTATGATGTGTACAACAATCTGCCCTGGTAGTCCACCACCCCCACCCTGCCTTTAAGAAGCAGGAGATCAGTTTCATAATTAGTCCTCTGGGACCATTATTATTAGTTCTTCTCAGAGTCCATATTCTGGTAATTTTATTTTTGTTTATATTATTATAGTCATTATATTATTGATCTGGTTCTGCTTATTACTACCCCCTTTAAAAGTGTATTGTTGGGGCAGTTAGGTAGCACAGTGGATAGAGCACAGGCCCTGGAGTCAGGAGTACCTGAGTTCAAATCTAGTTTCAGACACTTACTAGTTGTATGACCCTGGGTAAGTCACTTAACTCTGACTGCCTAAAAAAAAAAAGTGTATTATTGCTGTTCTTGGTTTTCCCAGATTAAGGAATTCACTATCTACTCCCAAGGTAACCCATTCCAGTGTTGGATTATTCTAATTATTAGAAAATTATTCCTTATATTGGACCCACAGCTGCCTCTCTATGAGTATTTTGCTCAAATGATTCTTGAGCAAAGTTCACCTCTTTAATCAAAGATAAGCATACCTATTTGCAACTGGGTAAGTTTCTGCATAAGACCTGCAGAGGCTTAAGGCTCACAGATTTGGAGTTTGAAGGGACAAGTCTTGTCCAATCCATTCCTTTTTCAAATGAGGTTTCTACAGCCCAGAGAGGTTAAGTCACTTGTCCAAAGTCACACAAGCAGGATGTTGCTGAACCAGGGTTTGACCCTGTCTCATAGAATCAAGTCCTGCAACTCTAATCCCAGCACTCTTTCCATTGTACTCCACTGCCTCCTGTAGTCAATTTCATATGAATACTCACTGTCTGGGACACAGGTCTTGAGAAAGAGTGAAGATTCAGTTGTAGATACAGGGTTCCAAGTAACACAAGAGATTGCTTGTTGCAAATCTTCACCATTCTTCAGCTGCACCTTTGATTGTGAAATATTCATATAGGATCCAGGAAACACCCATTTGTAATTTAGAAAGCGACTGTCTTCTGATCCATTACATGAAACTGTAAAGTTTTCACCATCAAAAGAACAGTAGAGATCAGGTTGTGGAAGTTTCTCTAGAGAGAAAAAAAAAATCAAGCAAGTTATGTATCACAACAGAAACTGGTTTTACGCTCCAAGTACATTTAAAACTGCCACTTAAAAATGTGAGGGGGAAAAGGACCTACATGCACAAAAGTATTTATAGCGGCTCTTTTTGTGGTGGAAAAGAACTAGAAATTGAGAGGATGCCCATCAGTTGAGGAATGGCTGAACAAATTGTGGTATATGATTGTGATGGAATATTATTGTGCTGTAAGAAATGATGAGCAAGGGGATTTCAGAAAAACCTGGAAAGACTTACACGAACTGATGCAAAGTGAAACGAGCAGAACCAGAAGAACATTGTACACAGTAACAACAACATTGTATGATGATCAACTATGACTGACTTAGCTCTTCTCAGCAATACAATGAGCCAAGATAATTCCAAAAGATTCATGATGGAAAATGCTAACCACATTCAGAGAAAGAACTGACAAAATCTGAATGCAAATCAAAGCATACTATTTTCACATTATTTTTTGTATTTCATATTTCGTATTTTTCCTTTGTTCTGTCTCTTCTTTCACAACACGACTAACACGGAAATGTGTGTTATATGATTGCACATATATAACCTAGGTCAAATTACTTACCATCTGAGGGACAGGGGAAGGAAGGGAGGGAGAAAGTTTGGAACTTAAAATTTTATTTAAAAAAAAAGAACATTAAAGTTATATTTACATGTAATTGGAAAAAAAATACTATTTAAAAGAAAAAAATTGTGAGAGGCAGTGAATAGTAGTGGAGAGAGAGCTGGCTGGGGAGCGACCTGCCTCAGACACCTCATGGCTGTGGATTCTGGGTAAGTCACTTTACCTCTCAATTTGCAGCGACTATCTAAGACTGTAAATTGCAGACAAAAGGTGCCAACCTATCCCAGAAGAGCAAGTTTCTCCATCCAGGAGTCTCCTATAGCGTAGAAATTACAGGCCTCTCTATTTCCTTCCTTATTTACAAATCTATAAGGAGCCTTAGTCTTCCTTATAAGCTCAGGAGTGCATAGAGTTCCCTTCCCTAAGCACTATGGGGGAAGAATCCTCTCTCATGCTTTGCATGATTTGGAAACTCCTGGGGCCAGAACAGTTAAATTGATACCTCATGGTGTCTGGCCACTGGGGTGAGTCCCTGTATCCCTGCTGTCTGATGATCAGCAAGGCTACCAGTGTACATAACCCAGGTCCCCTGCATGCAAATTCAGCAATCTTCCCACCATACCCTGCTACCTCTCTTGTATTTGTGTCCTCAGTCCTTAGCATAGTATTAGGCACATAGCAAGGGCTGAATAAGTGCTTTTTCATTCATTCATTCAATCATTCATTCAAGGATTTAGTCTTACGGCTTGCTTTATGCAATAAGACACCAGTTACCTGGATAAATGTTAAACGTTAAGCTACTGTCACTTATTAATAATTCACAATTGCTAAATTAATTTGCCAGATTGCCCAATTATTTATCAAGGAATGAAGCAAAAGTCAAGTGGGTGAACTCTGAGACTAGGGAAGGTCTAGCAGAACACAGGGTGTTGCCCAGGCTGTAACTAGGGTTCTTCTACCCAGGAGGTCAAGATTAAAAAGGACACTGAATCTCTATATTCCCTCTGTAGGTAGAAATAACTGAGTTTAGCACACAACAGGAATAATTATGAAGATAGGCTTCTGACCACAAAGGACAACCTTTGCGTCACCATCAGGGTGGGGCAACATTCCACGTTTCTTCCTCCATTGGGCCTTGTATCACCAGGTTTAAGTGGGTCTGCCCCTCTGCCCACAACTGAATTTGTCTTAAAAAGTTAATCTGAGGACACCTTTCCTACTGTTTGTCCCAGACATTACACTGGGTCTAGTGGAGCCTCCAAAACAGCCAAGGTGGCAGCATGCTGGCACAGTAGGTTTGCAGGAAAGAAATCAGAAGGAAACTAGGGAATGCTGAAAATATATTTTATAGGTCTTCGAGCTGGAAAACACCTCAAAGATCCCATTAGATTGTGAGCTTCTTGACGACAGGGACCAGAACCATGCTTTTTTGTTTTGTTTTTTAAAATTTATTGCTTTAAAAAAAAACAAAAACAGCATTTATATAGTTATCTCTACCCCCACTCTCCTTTGTAACAAAAACAGTTAAGCAAGTGAAACTGACACACTTCCATACCCCAAAACCCCATCAACCTGTGAAAAAACGTTTCATCAGTCTTCTGGTCAATATTAGTTATTTACCTTAACCTGAATTTTTTTTTTAGCATTTTTCTTTCCATGAAACACGTCTCTTGATTCTGCTTTCTTCACTCTCCATAAGTTCATACAAATCTTCCCTAGTCAGAACCACACTTTTGCCTTTCTTTGTAGCCACAGCCCTCAATACAACGCCTGGCACATAGTAGGTGGTTAACAAATGCTTTCTGACTGACCGATCCTCTACTTCAAATCTCTCATTTTTTACATTTACATAGGAGACTGATGCCTAAAGACTTGCCCAATTGAACTGACTTGCCCCAAATCACACAGACTGTAATAGAGCAGGGACCGGCACTTAGGGCTTACTTCACTTCACCATTTGGTAGAAAAGGTCACACAGGCAGTAAGCGGCAGAGACTGGATTTGAAGCTAGGTTCTCTGAATCCTAATCAAGCTCTCTCTTCACTTTGGCACAATGCTTGAAGGGCTTCCCAGAGTGAGAAATCCTAAACCGCAGAGAAATGCTAACTCTGGTATTGCTTTTCCTTCTTACCGCACTAAAGGATTGTTCATACAAGTGAGACGAACTACTTTGCCCTCACTCTGAATTGCAGTAATACCTTTAAATAGACTACTTCAGGCACTTCTTTTAGAGTTATGCATGTAACTCTCTTTTCTTAATGAGAAATGAATTGCATTAATTATAAGCACTTATTAATTGGTTAATAGTTTCATATTTTAGTCATGAAGTCAGTCCGCAGCCTACTCCCTTTCCAGATGCACCCTGAAGTAGGGCATGATTATGATGGTTGTTTTCCTGCATGATTAAGGTGTGTCTCTGAAAGAATGAGAGTCAGATGAGATTTAGAGTAACCTGAAAATCCAGAATTGGGGGAGAGGGGAAATGGGATGTGGAACTATGCAATTATATTTGCATATTTTAATAACAGAGTTATCTGGCAGCGGTAAGTATAATGAGACTTTCAGAAAAGATTATGCCAGTATTTGGAATATCAATCTTTGCATTGGCATGTTTAGAAACAATAAAAGCAATAATAAAAGCTGACATTTATATTGTACTCTAAAATTAGCAGAGTTCTTTACTACATATATTCCCATTTGATCCTCACAACAACCCTGTGCTAGTATTATACCTATTTATAGATAACAAGACCTGAGGCAGACAGCAGTTAAATGATTTGCCCAGGGTCACACCGCTGGTAAGTGTCAGAGGTAGGATTTGAACTCAGGTCTTGCTGACTCCAGGTTCAGCACTCTATCCACTGAGCTACACCTTAGGGACATGAATTATATTATCATATAAGTAATACTGTATTAAATTCTATATAATACAGTAAGATTTTGATGAATTTGTAGTACCATTGATCTGAGTGTTCCCTTTGAATTTCAACACATACATATCTGTCCAGCCTGTGCTACTTTTGTCCATTTTTTCTGACCCTGTGATTTTGTTGTTATGTGGAAATCACAGGGAGAAAACTCCCTTTATCAGTTCAGGTCTCAGCCTTCTCTTCAACTTATCATTCTAGAGAGATGCCTTAGGCACTGAAAGGTACAGAGACAGGCTGGCATCCAAATCTTCCTAAAGGAGGCTGTCTTTTTACCCACGATGCTATGCTGATTTTCATACTCTTCTCCAAGTCCTTCTCCACATCTCCTTCACCGTGGGGCCACGCAACATACTAAAGGCCTTCCTCTAGATAGCTTGATGCTATAACTTACCAATGAAACCAAAATGCCCCAAAGTTATCCCTTGCCACATAAGTATGATGCTCTTTTTAAAAAATAAGTTTTTATTGATTTTTTTTATATTACCATAGTTTCGCCTAGTGTCCCTTCCTCTCCCAGAGAACCATATTAAAAAAATAGTATTTTTTAAAAGAAAAAGAAAAGACAAGGAAAAAAATCAATGCAGCCAATCAATACATTGAAAGTCTGAAAACACATGCAACATACAACACAGACGTACTTCCCCTCTCCCCAAAGGGTTCGGCATTCAAAGCCTTTCTTAACCCGACCCTCCTATCTTTCCAATTTACTCACACCATATTTTCTGCCAGGTACTCTTCAATCCAGTGACACTGGCCTCCTGGCTGCTCCACAAACAAGCCCCTCCATCGCTCAGCTCTGGGCATTTTCTCTAACTGTGCCCTGCTCCTGCTCCCCCACTCCCCACCCCAACTCTCCCCTGCCTGGAACACTCTCCCTTTTCTGCTCAGACTACTGACCTCCCTGGTTTCTGTTAAGTCCCAACTAAAATCACACCTTCTAAAGGAAACCTTCCCCACCTCCACCTAATTCTAGGGCTTTTTCTCTTTTAATTATTTCCTATCTATCCCTGTATAGTCTGTTCTGTATATATTTGTTTGCATGTTGTCTCCCCCATTAGATTGTGAGCTCCTTGAAGGCAGGGACTGTCTTTTGTCTCTTTTTGTATCCCCAGCACTTATGCACAGTGCCTGGCACATAGTAGGCACTTAATAAATGTATTTTCTCCATCACTTTCTGAAGTGTAGAGAAGTGATGTCAAACTCCATAGAAATGCATCCATGTGGGTCCCATATTGACTCAGAAAACCAGAAATTAACATTATTATGATGTATTGTGTTTGTATTTATTTTCATTCACCTTTTTCATTCATTCAGAATTCATTTCATTATTTAATCAACATTGTCCAATTATATTTTCGTCTGGTTCAGGCAGCATTCATCTGCTAGCAAATTTGGTACTCCTGGTCCAGACAAAAATACACAATCTATAAAATCCTGATTTATATATAG